CGATCCAGCTATATGCTGCCTACAAGAGACACACCTTAGACTGAAAGACACAAACAAACTAAAACTCAAAGGATGGAAAAAAATATATCAAGCAAACAACACTCAAAAAAACAGCAAGAGTGGCAATATTAATCTCTGACAAAACAGACTTTCAAGTAAAATCCACCTCAAAGGATAAGGAAGGACACTATATAATAATTAAAGGTTCAACACACCAGGAGGACGTAACTATAATAAATATTTACGCACCCAACAATAGGGCTCCCAAATACAGACAACAAACTCTAACAGCACTGAAAAGAGAGAGAGACAGCTCCACAATAGTAGTAGGAGACTTCAACACACCACTTTTGGTGAAGGACAGAACATCCAAAAAGACACTCAACAAAGACACGGAAGAGCTAAATGCTACAATCAACCAACTTCATCTCACGGACATATACCGAACATTCCACCCAACAGCAGCCAAGGATACTTTCTTTTCCAATGCACGTGGAACATTCTCCAAAATAGCCCACATATTAGGCCATAAAGCAAGCCTTAACAAAATCCAAAACATCGAAATATTACAAAGCATCTTTTCAGACCATAAAGCCATAAAAGTAGAAATCAACAACAAAAAAAGCAAGGAAAAAAAAATCAAACACATGGAAACCGAACAACACTGTCTTAGTCATCTAGTGCTGCTATAAAAGAAATACCACAAGTAGATGGTTTTAACGAAGAGAAGTTTATTTCCTCACAGTTAAAGTAGGCTAAAAGTCCAAATTCAAGGTGTCAGCTCCAGGGGAAGGCTTTTTCTGTCGGCCTTCTTCTCTTCGGTGTTCCCCCAGACTAGGAGCTTCCCGGCTTTCTTGATGGTATGAGGTCCCCCTGTCTCTCTGCTCACTTCTGTCTTTTATATCTCAAGAGATTGCCTCCAGACACAATCCAGTCTTGTAGATCAGGTCCTGTCTTACTAACACAACTGCTGCCCATCCTCCCCCATTAACATCATAGAGGCAGGATTTACAACATATAGGAAAATCGCACAGTACCAGGAATCACGGCCCAGCCAAACAGATATACACATTTTTTGGGGGACATAAGTCAAACCATGACAAACACTTTGCTCAAAAACTACTGGGTTATAGAAGAAATTAAGGATGGAATAAAGAAATTCATAGAATAGAACGAGAATGAAAACACATCCTACCAGAACCTTTGGGACACAGCAATAGCAGTGCTCAGAGGTCAGCTTATAGCAATAAATGCACACATCCAAAAAGAAGAAAGGGCCATAATCAAAACATTAACCCTACAACTGAGACAAGTAGAAAGAGAGCAGCAAAAGAAGCCCACAGGCACCAGAAGAAAGGAATAATAAGAATTAGAGCAGAATTAAAT